GTAAGGCTGATGTTGCAGCTGTGGTTGATGTTGGTGTTGATGTTGGTGTTGTTGTTGATAATGTTGCTGCTGTTGTTGTTGTTGCTGCTGCTGGACAAGATGTTGGTGCTGAGGTAGCTGCTGCATCTGCTGCTGCGGTTGCTGTTGATGAGGATGAGACTGAGGATGCATCGGATGTTGCTGCTGGTGTATTTGCTGCTGCTGCTGCTGCTGCTGTAGCTGCTGCTGCTGTAGCTGCTGCTGCTGATGCTGTTGTAGCTGCTGCTGCTGATGCTGTTGTAGCTGCTGCTGCTGATGCTGCTGATGCTGTTGTAGCTGCTGCTGCTGTTGTAGCTGCTGCTGCTGCTGATGCTGCTGTTGTAGCTGCTGCTGCTGCTGCTGTTGCCGATGCTGATGCTGCTGTTGCTGCGTCTCGATGATAGCTGGAGACTGGGACCATGGCGTTTCCTGAGCTGCAGGAGGAGCAGGAGAGGTCCATTGTGAGCTGACTTGACCCATGCCCGCGGGCCCCCTTTGCAAGTTTAGGCCTCCTGGCGGCTCAGAAACGGTGGAAGAGTCGACCCTCACGCTCCTGGAGTCTGCGAGGATCAACTTAGACTGGCCAGGAGGGTGGAAAGAAGAAAAGAGGAGCAGGAGGAAACAGTCGAGGAACGAGGATTGGTGAGAGGGTAAAAAGTATGTTGTCAAAAAAGTAGCACAGAGAGCAGGAGAATAAGAAGAGGGAGTAAGGAGGGAGAGGAAGGAGGGAGAGGAAGGAGGGAGAGGAAGGAGGGAGAGGAAGGAGGGAGAGGAAGGAGGAGGAGGGGAGGGGGGGAGGGGAAGCAAGGAGAAGAAGGAGGGAGGGGAGAAAGGTCTACCAGGACGAGAGTTCTGGAGGAAAGAGGGCCCTATGTTAAAGAAGTCAGAAAAAGACTGGAACATCGAAGCCCTTTACCTTGATCAACCTTGTGAGGAGCTTGACCCTGGGGCCTCCCCTGCTGCATGTTCGCAAGCCCCATCTCTCCTCCTATCCCTTGCACGCCACCTTGCTCCATACTGCTCTCCATCCCCCCTCCCATTCCAACCCCCTCCCACTGGTCACTTCCAGACAGTCTCATATTTCCCTGAAAGCTCGTCCCCGTCCCCGCCCCCCTGCTTCCTCCCCCCACTCCTTGCATGGGATCACTGTGCCCATGCCCCATACTAGCAGTAACCCCCTGCTGCCCACCCCTGGACACCTGTGGCCCTCCCCTCAGCCCAACCCCGACTGCTGCATGCTCCCTTGACCCATCCCCACAGCGTCTTGCTGCCCTCCAGGCATGCTCATTCCTCCTACCTGGCCCATGTTCGCATGCTGCATGGCGTTCTGCCCCATGACACCTTGCATCGCTCCTCCCATCCCCCCTCCTGTGCTGGACTGCATACTGGACGCTCGGCTCCCCTGGTTGCTCATTCCTTGCTCTACAATGAATCCTCGACCTCTTTCCAGCTCTGCTGACCTGAGAAGGCTGCCTGCCAGGTTGCTGCTCTGCTCAATACCCCCTTGCCCTGTGCTCCTACCTTGCATTCCTCCCATCCCTCCTCCCGGCTGCTGAGTCGCATTCATCCCCCCCGCCGTCTCCACAACGGCTTGATGACTTGATTCAACTATCATGGCCGCCGCATATCCTTGTACTTGACTACCCACTCCTCCTCCTCCTCCTCCCCCACTCGATCCATGCGGACCTCCCTTCAACGGCATCCTCCCTCCTCCTCCCCCCAAGTCTCCCCCCATTCCTCCAGCTCTCTGCCCAACCTGTGCTATTCCCCCTTGGTGCAGGGTCGGCATCCCCATTCTGCTACCCAGCCCCACCCCCAGCCCTCCTCCTCCTTCAGGTCCCTGATGGCCTCCAACCCCCTGCGACATGCTCCCTTGCCCCATCCTGTTCCCAGATTCAACCAGCCCTGCTCTCACCGCATCCCGCATCCCTCCCATCCCTCCTCCTGTTCCTTGCTGCAAGCCCCCCTGCCCCATCATCCCAACCCTCTCCATCCCCATCATTCCTCCTCCCTGCTGCCCTCTGGCTTGTAGGCTGCTGTTTCCTCCTTGACTCAATTGATTGCCCATTCCGCCTCCTATCTCCTGCTGCCCCCCTCCTGCCCTAGCAATCCCTTGATACACTGTCCCTTGCCCCATGTTGCTCACCATGCCTCCATGTCCATCTGTGCACTGCACGGTGCTCACAGGACCAGAGTTTCCCTGGTAACTCTGTGTCTGTAGCATACTACCCGTCATACCTCCTCCTCCTCCTCCTCCTCCTCCTACTCCTCCTACTCCTACTCCCCCCGTTCCGATGTTCCCCTGTTGCATCCCACCGCCCATCCCTGGGCCAATTCTTCCTCCTCCAAGTCCCGGACCTTGTTGGAGGCCAACAGCACCCATACTTCCAGCGCTCTGATCGAAGTGCGAGACTCGGTCGAGGTTAACAGCAACATCACCGGCCCTGGCCTGCATGCCCTGAAGCTGACCGCCTCCTTGTAGAGGATACTGCATAGAATGGGAACCAGCCGCAAAGAAGTCCTCCCGCACGTCCTCCCGCACGGGGGTCGAGCTTGCCTGAGCTGGCTGGCCGAAGTTTGTGCTCTGCAAGGGAGTGCCCATGGGCCCCGTTGGATTCCCGGGAGATTGATGAAACAAGTGAGGTTGCTGCTCTTTGACTATCGGCGGGAAAACACCCCGATGAGCGCTCTGGACACCATACCCGCTGCCTTGTGCTTGGAACGAGTGTGCAACCTGGAACGACAAAAGTCACGGGGAAGTTCAGATGGCAGTCATACGGAGATGTTGCGAAAGAAACGAAAATCATAGTAGGGTTCAAGTGAAACATCCGAGTGATGTCAGGGTAGCGGAAGAAAGCACAGCTTGCACAGCACAGTGGTGCAAAGAAACATCATCACACGCTACCCGGCTAAACTCACAACCCGAGCTAATACCTTCTGAGGCGGTTCTTGATCTGTCAGCGTTTGTTCAAGAACCTTGAAGCAAAGGTCAACATCGAGCTGTGCTCATTCGAGCTCATGCCGCACCCTTTGCTGATTTCTTGACATCGCCAAGTTAAAAGACGTCTTCTGACGCATGAAACTTTCAAACAGGTAGAGGTACTGCCAACAGCACAAGCACATCAGCCCGGGCTCGCTGCCGTCCTTCTCACCTGTAGGTAGATCTGCCGGAGGGGCTTCGCAACGGAGCTGTGAGCCTGCACCGACTTGTCACTACAAGGACTCTCAATGGGGACGAAGAGATTGTCTACCTGCAAGCTCTCATCGAGGCTCCTGGCAATCTCCACCCAGACAGCATCGTCCACGATCTGCCAGGTACGTTCACGACCGCCCGAGGGGAGTGGAAGCGGCGAGACCTGCTCGTATCCTCCGTAGCGTTTCACCAGTAAGAACAGCGAGAATAGATCTATCTCGAACCCTTTCCTTGCTTTCAGACACGCCATGTCCGCACGATCGGCCTTACCGTAGATGGTTGGAAGCGATGAGACGTTGATCCCGCATTTCTGCGCTGCGCTTCAGCGAGCAGGAAAGCACGACTCTCCTCTACCTGCACGAAGCCTCCATAGAATCGCAGCCATCGACTCCGATCGTTAGCATCCGACCCTTACAAAGAATACCAATCACACAAGGCACCGCCGGAAATGCGACAATCGTCTTCGAACTCTCGCACTCACCTGGCGCGCTTGCCTGCGGATTTTGCAAGCTTGCCCCGCGATCGCCATTTTGCATGTATGAAAGTTTTCGAGTCTTTCACTCGATGAAAGATTCAGGACCGACTGGATTGTCCCATCTAACAGATAACTGCAAAAGGACAAACATTAGGGAAAACTCGGTTCGCTTCTGGCAAAGGAACGAAGGCTGGGCGACACAGCATGTCGACAGCATGGTGAGACGAGGATACAGCATGCGAGGAGCAATCGATCGCAGGCCCCGCATGGCGAAGCTGTCTGGATCGATCGACGTGCTCATTGCCTCTCCATGACAACAGGGAGATTTGAATCTGCTCCGGCTCTCATCCCACATCCTCAACTCCCTGGTTCTCCTGACGCTATCACCCTCTGCTTCATCCCTCGCCCCATCCATCCTCTCCTACCATTTCTCACGATCTCCCTGATCCTCTCCCCCTCTCCTTCCCGCTCCTCCTCCTCACTGGATCTTCTCATTCCTCCATCTTTCCCGTCCATTCCGTCTATCTTATTTCGCTCAAATAATTGAGTAAACGATATATGGTACCAGCATCAGTGGTGGTCATCAAGTGGTTTCGTACTGCCCTCGTACTGATTTTTAACTTAACTTTGAGTAAAGGTCAGGGTCAAGGTTTCGTACAAATTGCGCGGCCAGTCCGACTCATATAGGCACGGCCGGCCCCCGCCCCCGCGGCCCCGCGGCCCGGGCCCGGGCCGGCCAGTCACTGCCACCGACCCCACTGGGCCAGTAGAGTGAACTGCCGGGAATGGAAACCGTCAGGCCGTGGCACGGCCGGCACGGTGCGGACCGCCGCATTCCAGCCTGAGAGGCTCAGGCTTGCCAACGCCAGGACTCGGAGTCCGGGAACCGCGGGCCTGGCAGCTAGCCGCTCAGTGAGCCTCCGAGTCTCCGAGACACCGTCCGAGGCTAGCCTCAGTCTCACACTCACAGTCGGACTCCCTGACGGCGTCGGACTCCGAGGCTCCCTGACGGCGTCGGACTCCCTGACGGCTAACTATTTCACTTAGTCACCAGGGTGGTTCCGAAGATAGTTTTCACTTCTAGTACACTTCATAGTCTACATCTAAGGCTGCAAGATCCTGTCACTGATCGGCTACGTCCGAATGGTCATGGCCGACTGGAACGGTTGGCCCTTGCCAACCGCGAAACTGGGATTTTCATTGCAGCAACCTCAATCGTTGCCGGGGTCACGATTCTGCGTCGTCCGAGTAGAGGCCATGGAATGCCATACCAGTTACCACTGAAAGCATAACAAGGCGGCTGAGTCCTCTTCTCTGCGACAGGTTGAAAGGGGTCTGTATCCCAGTGTTGGGATCCGACTCAAGTTGCGGACCCAAGAGGTTCAGGAGGGCCCCAGCAGCGCAGACTTGGCTCTGCACATCAGAACCGAACATCAGGTCGAGCAGAGGTGGGATGCCTCCGGCTTCCACGATCTCTTGCTTGCTCGCCTGCTCCCTCGACAGGTTCTGGATCGCCCCGGCAGCGCTGCCGCAGATGCTTACCTGAGGTGCCGCCAGCATCCTGACCAGCTCCTTGATGGCGTTGCCGGTCCTGATGATCTTGATGGAGCCCACGTCCGAGCTCATGTTGTGGATGACGCCGACTGTACGCGTCCTGACCTTCACGCTCGAGTGCGTCAGCAGGGGGAACAGGGAGGGCAGCACTTCTGCCTCCCGCATGTGCACTCTGCCCTCTTCTTGGAAGGACAGCGACTGCAGCGCCCCAGCAGCGTTCGCCTGCACGTCCTCGAAGGGAGAGTCCAGTAGCTCTGCCAGGGGCTGCACCACGTTCTCCTGTATTACCATGAGCACGTTCTCCTTTTCATAGCAGATGTTGAGGAAAATGCTGGCTGCCTCTCCCGCCACGTACAGTGACTCCTTGTTATGCAGGTACTTTGAGATGATCCGGATGTCTTCCAACTCCAAGTTGCAGCGGTTGGCATACTTCCGTGACAGAACTTTCAGCATCCTCAGCAGAGCAAGAGCGAGGTCAGCATCGTCAGCGCAGCTGTCATGGTCTAGGCAATCCATCAGGAAGCTGCAATCGTCCTCCTCCTCTACCTGGAAGAACCAAACATCTTCTTCAGCGCACCGTAGGGCATGCCATTGCCAGTTACCTCAAGGTTCGGACTCTCCTTAGGGTTCTCATTGAACTTGTAGAACTCTATTGCGAGATCCTCCACCAGCCCCGGGTTGTCCACAAGTATATTCCCGTGCGCACCCGATTCTCCCCGCTTAACGGCATCATTAAACCTGTCCAGGGTAGCACCTGGCTTGAGCTTTGCGCTCGAGAGGTCGTCGGTCGTATCAGACATACCGACCTGCCATCTCAAGGGTCAGGCGCGATGTATCGATGGCAATCGTATTCAGACAAATCGTCAAACAATTATCAAACCACATTCGTCAAGACGTCTGTCATAAATCATTCGTCCATCAAATCCTGAGCAACTTAAAACGATATTCGCTCTAATCATTTCAATGCGCACTGAGATTTTCCTCCACACTCTGTTGGTAGCCGCCGTTTTTTTCATTGGTTTCAAGAAGCTCGATCACTCGTCATCAGCATCTTGAGATGAAGACCATTTCTATTCCATTTCTTGTCATCATTGCACTGGTATTGGCCTCCTATCTATCTGCTATTCTTTCCTGCCAACTAGCCTCCACTTCTTTCGTCCGCACCATGCATACCGCTAAATCTCTGCATTTCTTCAGTTGGCCTGAACTACCCTACCCTACCCTACCCTACCCTGGCCTTCCCTTCCCTGCCCTGCCCTGCCCTACCCACCCTACCCTACCCTACCCTACCCTACAGAGTAAACCGTCCTGTAACCCTAAATCTTTTTCATGTAACGCTCCTTGTAACGTTGTCAGCTGTCTAGGAAATGGCCTGCCCTCACGAGGCGATGGTGGTGGTGCTGGATGGCGATGGTGGTGAGCAGAAGTACGAGTTTGACGCGCTTGTCAACAGAACAGAAGGTGAGGAGGAGCAAAGGAGAGGAGGCTCCGACCTATGCTATGCTCTCCTGCTCCGTTTGCGTGCATAGATTCGAATAGTCCTCTGCACCAACGCATGCTCTTTGCTAGTTCGAAAGATCATTTTCATGTTTATGGGACAGTGTTGTCTTTGGTATATTGGAATGGCAAAGAAATATGATGAAGAATTTGTTGTTGAAATGATTTTTTGTTTCAATGCTTTTCTGTTTGTGTGTGTGCAAGTTTGTGCAACCCAAGTACAGTCAGCAATGTCGATTGTCCAGGAAATCAGACAACTGACTCTTTCTTTTTCTGAGCAGGTGATTTCTTTTCCACAAGCATGCAATACACAAACAACGACATTTTGACCGACTGTGTGCTGAGAGAGGGTTTCAAGGAATTCCGTATCTACTGCGGTGACATGGAATGGGTGTTGCTCGGAACGAAAAAGAGACTGCATGCTGGTGGAAAGTTCTGGGCTGACGCCCAATCTGGGACCACAGCCTGCGCCAGTGTAGAGATCGAGCCCTATGATGGTGACGGCGCGAATCCGAACGACCTCATCCTTTCGTCCTTCACCATAGACACATCTCCGCGTGCGTCGTTCATCGATGAGGAACCAGATCCTTTTGCGATGCCGGGAGGGAAAGGGCAGTCTCTTGGGATGGTCAAGTACAAGAAGCATGATGGGCAGGTCTTCGTGGCAACCTGCCTCCCGTATGGAAGGGTAAAGTCCGAGGAGGGTCAGGTGAGTTGCACATGGTTGTGAAGCGGCTCCACAGCCTGTGACGTTGTGCGTGTGTGGCAGATCTTTGAGCGAGTGGACACATGGCTGCAGTGCGTTCAACAGATGTCGGAGTGATCCCACTGTCTTCTCCATGCTCACTCGTCTGCCTGGGGCCTCAAGAAGGACCCCCGAGAAGGACCCCAGGCGCCGATCTGGACTCGAAGAATAGACGGCCCGCAAGGCCCTCAGTGAAGGCGAGCAGAACGGGTAACGTTGATAATTGTTTGTCGAGAAACAGGATGTAAATTAAAGCATTGCCGATCTATCGAATTAAAGATGCCATCCCGCTGAGCCAACTGAGCCTCTCGCCTCATCCATGCTCGACAACAGATTCGTGAGCGCTGAGAGGGCGATCCATAGTGGGTCAACAACGGGGGTGACTGAGTGCCTCCATAAGAAAAGCTCGATACCTGAAAGGGAAAAATTCATATGCGCGACTAGCTTTGACCTTGAAGCCTAGTTTGTCTTAAAACAAGAACGCTAGGAGGAAACTGTCGTGTTTGATTGTCACCATAGACCAGGCGCAAATAAGGCTGTGATGCTGTCAGGTGGAGCTGATCAGAATATGTCGGCTGCAGGAGGTTGTCGATATATGCCCAAAACATCTCTTGTTTCATCATAGCTGTGAATGAGGCTACCATCCACGCCTTCGCTCCTCGATTCCTAGTCTTTCTTGAACCTGCAAATTTCGATTTGCAGTATCTTCTTTACATGAATAAAGTACAAGAAAGAAATGCTTGACTCAGAGGAGATAGTGGGTGAGATGATGTTCTCAGGCTGATTGTAGAGTGCAAATCCAACAGGAGGGTGGGTGAGACATTTGATGGCTGGGAGGCCGGTCAGGGCGAGGAGGAAGGGAGAGGGGGAGGGGAGGGGAGGGAGGGGAGGGGAGGGAGGGAGGGAGGGAGGGAGGGAGAGGAGAGAGGGAGGAGCGAATGGAGGGACTCAAGCGTGAAGTGAAAAGGGCAGCACATAGGACAGAAGGAAATATATAGAAAATCTGCCCTCGCCTCAGTGAAATATTAGTACTCTCGTGAAGGGCAGCACAACCAGGAACTGTGGGCTATGAGAAGTAAACACCACAAGTTTCCCACCAAGCTCCCCCAGGCACCACCCCTTGTACCCGGTATTTTCCACACAGAAGAAGGGGTAGGAGCCCCATAGGGAACCCAGGGAAGGGTATACACTTTCAGGGTAGGGCAGGAACCAGCAACTGAGCCGACCCACCGCCCCCCTCCCACGGTCGCGCTCCGACACACCCCTCTCCCCTCCTCTACTAGTTGATAGCCAGGCTCCTTCCCTTCCTGCCTTGTCGATAGGACCTCCAACTTCCTTGTCCCTCCCTCCTCCCTAGTTCGTTGATAGCTTGCATCCCCCATTTTCTTAGCTCCCTCCCTCCCTTCGGAGATCTGGAAGTCGTCGTGGAAGCTCGCCGTTCCATCAGCAAAACCCTCTTACTCAAAGTATGGCAACCTTTTCCAGTGCCTTCTTCCTAAATGTGTCTTGATCATCCCTTTATCTCGCCGTTTGCTCACCAAGAAGTGTGGTGTTTTGGTCCCCCAATGCAAATCATACGATTCGATGTTGCATCAATCTGCCTGAGAGCAAACAGTTTTGCTTTCTTCTTTTCAAACGTTTTGATGTTGCATCAATCTGCCTGAGAGCAAACAGTTTTCCTTTCTTCATTTGAATCTTTTTGATGTTGCATCATTCTGCCTGAGAGCAAACAGTTTTCTTTTTTTTCTTTTCAGACGTTTCGATGTTGCATCATTCTGCCTGAGAGCAAACAGTTTTGCTTTACCTTGTATGCAATGTCGCTTTTGAATGATCTCTCAGCCATTGGTTGACTTACCCCTGCAGATGACGGTGCAAGTCAGTGTAGACCTCACGTCGGGCAATGCTGTAGACATGTCAGCAACTTTGCTTGACACCTACATCTTCTCCGAGGTGCTCGACGATGGCCGAATGAGGTACTTGTTGCTCATGCTTGCATCGCAGCTGCGCCATCCTCTCCTTCTCATGGCATTGCAGGCGCATATGGGCGGACGGGATTTACTGGGAGGGCACGGAGGAGGGTCGCCCACTGACCGGGGAAGGAGCGATGCACTTCCAGTCAGGGCCAACGTGAGTCCGAAGCTCCCCTGAGGAGAGACGAGCAGGGCAAGAGTGACTGAGCCGCAGGGTGACGGGACGGTTCAAGGACGGCGTCTTGCAAGGGAGCGGGATGACGCAATGGCCCGACGGCTCTTACTATCATGGTGACAACCGTAGCGGTGACTTGAATCGAGTGATGACGACATACCCATGCAGGGGAGATGAAGGACAACAAGCGGCATGGCTACGGGACGTACGAGTGGGCAGACGGAACGAAATACGAGGGAGAGTACAAGGACGACCTTCGCAACGGTGAGAATCGAGCTTGCATGCCGTGCTGACCTCTGGTCTGATGGATACGATGATCCCTTACCAATATGCTCTATACGATGATCCCTTAGCAATATGATCGATGCGATGATCCCTTAGCAATATGATCGATACGATGATCCCTTAGCAATATGATCGATGCGATTATCTCTTATCGAGACCTTGGCAGGGCAAGGGCACTGCCAGGCGTCCGACTATGAATATTGGGGGAGCTGGAAAGATGACATGATGGAAGGCGAGGTAAGAGATGCGCTGTGGGGGAGGAGGAAGACTGTGTCCTTGACCCGCGCTTGTTGCAGGGGATCTACGAATGCCTGGACGAGCAGAAGAACGTCTTTCGCATCTTTGAAGGGAGATTTGAGAAGCACGTGCCGGTCTCTGGCACATTATACACCAACGACGGGGAGGTGCACGAGGTGTGCTACGACGGGAAGACGCAAGTGACCGACCACCCTTGGTAAGGAAGTGATGTTCCTTCTCTTGCGAGCGACGCTGTAGTCCCGTTGAGCTGACTTGCTGCTTGTCCGTTGCATGGTGCTTTCTCTTTCTTCCCCGGAAGGCTGTGGAAGTCGAAGACGTAAGTTGAACTGCTGTAGTCCTGTCTGTAACCAGCATGGCTGACGGGTTGCCTGCAGGGAGGACGTGGACCTCCTCAAGCAGCTCCCGAACGAGAGCGAGGAGTATCGAATGGTGTCGAGCCTCTTCCACACGTCTATCCGCGGGAGCGGGTGCGTAGTCAGCAGACAAGGGCGGTAGTGAGAGGACTGACCCTGTTCCTCTACCTGCAGGCCCAAGATCGTGCGCATCAGCCGTATAGAGAACCCCGGCCTCCGCCAGCTCTTTGAGATCCAGGTCACTTGATCTCCTTCCCTGACACTAGGAGCGATAGGGTTGACGCAACCTATAGAGAAACCGGATTCGCAACGAGGTACTCAAGCGAGGGATGGAGTGGAACCCCTCGACTATGGAGCGCTGGGCCTTCCACGGCACGGGATCAGGGAGCGGGTGAGAGCCACGAGGATGCAGACGCTGTTTGCTTTCCGGCTGACGAAAAGCAGGTCTGGAGAAAATCCCGGATCAGCCATCATGAACGAGGGGTTCCTGGTCACCCTTGCAGGTGGATGGCCCATATGAGGTTGAGGTCGGTAGTGATGCTGGCATGCCAGGGTCAAGGAACGGCATGGCGTTTGGTGCGGGCGCTTACTTTGCGAGAGACGCGAGGTTAGACTGCCTGCTGCTCGGCGGCAAGGACGGGGGACGGTGACAGTGACTTTGCTTGCTCAGTTACTCGCTGCGCTACTGCCATTCTGATCCTTCGAATCCTCACGAGCAGTCAATGTTGCTCGCTCGGGTGAGTGCAGCTCGAAAGCTCCTCGTTGCTGCAGCGCCTTGACCGCAAAGAACCTCTGAAGATTGTGGTCGGGCGATACACGGAAGGACAATCCAGCTACCGCGCGCCTCCTCTGGACCCGAGCGGTGCGTACACCTTGAGTGTGAACTCTCCGCCTGCCGAATGAAGAGGAGTCGGAGCTGAACTTGCAGCAGGCAGTGCTGGGCAGCACTTTCACAGCATGGTCGACAACAGCAGCAACCCCGGCATCTTCGTCATCTCGGTACCACAGTCACTGAGTTGTGAAGCTGTATGTGCCTGGATCCTGACTTGAGCTGCCTGCAGCACAGCGCCAGCGCGTATCCTGCATACAAGATCGACTTCGCCACCGGCAAAGGGTCGGGGAAAGACGTGCGTTCTTCTCGGGTACGGGTGAGTGCGATGTTGAGGAGGGCGAGTCAGAGGAAAGAGGCTGATGATGGGAGGAGCAGGTCTCCCAGCAGCGCTTCAGCCCGCTCAAGTCTCTCATCGCAGCCGAGAGACTCTCCGCGCTAAGGAGTGCAAGTGACTCTGACGACTTCAACTTGGAAGAGGAGCCGACGAGGAAGTCGCTTGTACGGCGCCCGCTCAGCGGGCGCAAGCGGGCGCGGGAGGACCAGCTGACCTCTCACATCAATGTGATCGACCTCACCGGCGATTGAAAGCCTCTGGCAGGCTGAGGACACTGACCGTCACCAGACGGTGGCAGCTGAGACCGACGGATCGTACTAGTACAGGTTTCATAGTTGCTTTCTGGTACTGTTTACAAGTATGTGAATTTTCCTGCATGGACATTTATTATTTAAAAAGTGAGACATACCAAACTGCTTCAAGCACACGATCAAGTAGGTGCTCGGATCCTCCCAGATACAAGGGCCATCAATCCAAACCTCTCTCTCTCTGCCTCGAAAGTCATAGAAAGCCAACTTCAAACTGCAGGAATCTCAATATGCCTTTGGAGCGCTTCACTGACTATTCTGATGGATTTGATAATCAATTGATGATGTAATTGCTGATTATCACCTGTGTGACTCAAGTGAATTGAAAAAGAATGTTTGTGTCTTCCCTTTCCGAGGCTACAATCTCCGATTGATTTGTACGATTTCAAGGTGTCAGGAGCTCATTGATATTTCATCAACCGTCGAACGTTGAGTAAAGCTCGAGGAAACGCAACGAGCAACATTAGAATAGTCAGTTAAGCGCTCCAAAGGCCATATTGAGATTTCTGCAGTTTGAAGTTGGCTTTCTACAGCTATCAGTACGGTAGTATCGAGGCAGAGAGAGAGGTTTGGATTAATCATCGGAGTCACCCTTGTATCTGGGAGTCACTGATGATTCGAGCACCGTCTACTTGATCGTATTCGGCGAGCCTGGACACTGGCAAGTTTCTCCTCAGTCGGCTGGCCGGAGTCCATACCACTGATGAGCCGGCCCGGGGCCGGGCCGGCCCGGGCCGCGGGGGAACTCGGGACTCAATGATGGCAAACGGTGCACACCTCAAGCACTGAGCCTGACAGTGAGGGATTATTTTAGTCTATCAGCTCAGTGAGAATCAAAGCTCAAGTATTGTGCCGCTCAGTGAGACCTCGACATTCTTGCCCGGCCCCGCCGGGGCCCTCAGTCCTCACTGAACTGCCCGCGCGCCCGGTGCCACTGGCTGCGGCCCGTTCGGAAGTTCCGCCGGACTCGGAGTCCCGGAGTACGGTCCGATCGCCGCTCACGGAGGCTCGGAAGCCGGCCGGGCGCCGCCGGGGTTCCGACAGGGCCGTCACAACTTGCGGCCCGCGGCGAGCCCGGAGCCGCCCGGCCGGATCTGGCCAGGACGGCATGGCCGGGCAATCATCATAGTACTGAGCTTTAACTTAACTTTGAGTAAAGAGAAAAAACTGAGCCGCCCAAGCCTGAAATTTGATTTCTAATCGAGTCATTCAAACCCTTGTTCCCCGCAGGGCGTATCGCCCACCCCACCCCACAGAAATAAATACTTGAAGCATCACCCCTTATTCCCCTTCCAATCCTTATACAGGGACCCACCCCTTGATGTACCCCCACCACGTGTGCTCCCATGCAACCCATCCCTTGTTGTCTCTCCCATCCACTCAATGGGCAGCAGTGACCCTTTCTGACTACATCACCCCACTCTACAGTACCCCACCCCTTCTCCTACATCTCGAATTTGATGACCTACCCCCTGTACTACTACAATAGTGACGGTAGCTCAACTCCACCCCTCCTAGAGACTCGCTGGGGTACCCCCATCTCCCCCCTGACCCCCAATGGGGTCATGTCGACGTAATCACGAAGATCGGTGGGCCTCGATCAGAGGGGGTGGGGCCGTGTGGAGGGGGTGGAGGATACAGGGGGGGCGGGGGTACGGAGAAGGATTGTACTGACCAAGGGTAGGTGTAGTCAGTACTGGATGTGGTGGGGTAGTCGAAATCACCCTCCCAACTTCAAAATTTGATTAGAAAATTACACATGGGGTGGGGTGGTTTTAGGGCATGGTGGAGGAAGATTCGAGAGGTCTACTGCATACATAAAAGGAGTGTAGAAAGATAGGGTGGTAGTGGTAGGGGTCGGTGGATCCCTGAAAGTGGGGTGTAGATCTCGTATTGGGGGTAGGGGTCCTTCAAACAATTAGGAAATGCTTCACATGGGGTGTAACGTCTTGTGGGTGCAGGCTAGGCTTGGGTCTACAATGAGGTTTAATAAGGGTGGGTACTTGAAAAATGGGGGTGAGGGGTCTGAGATCCAATTCAACGAGGGTGGTAGGTTGGTTTAACATACGTTTCAAATGAGGAAAAGGGGGGTAGGGTCATCAGGATTCAGCCAGACTACCCCCCCTGTATCGTATTCCAGGACCCTGGTCGTATTCCAGGACTCCCCTTTCGTGGAGTACCCCTTTTGTTCAATTTTCGTTCGCCTCTCCAAGCATTCAAGCGGCTGCCCGTGGCAATTTCAAAGTTCATCGAAATATTTCAAGTTCACCGTCTAATGTTCGCAAGTCCTTCTTCCCTCATATTGAAACTCGTCCTAGCGGGAGGGTGGGTGGATATTGAATAGGGGTAATGATGCGTCCATTTCCAGGGTGGGTGGTCGGTACGAAGGACCTTCACCCCCCTCGAATCCAACAAAAGCTACCTCCCCTCCCCCACTACCCTCCCCCTGGGCCGAGTGAAAGTGAGGCAACCACCCTACTCCAGACCCAACTCTAACCCCCTTACCCCCAAGAAATCCTGTCCACCCCCCACCCCCACCCCTAAATTTCCCCTACCCCGCGCCTCCGCTCATGCCGCTCCCGCTCAAGCTACGCCCCTGCATGTCCTGAGAGGCTTCGGGGAGGCTGGAGCATGTACACTTGCAGAGATGTTTCAGGGCCTGAAAGCTTATGATGTGTCTCAGCATTGTCCTCCTCTTCTTTACATGCCTTGACAAGTTTCCATTCGTGCAAGTAGCATTCAAGCATTTGGTTTTAAGTGTTCACGTGACCCGAGAGCATGTGCAGCTAGAAGCGTTTTTGCATCAATTTTTGCATCATATATGTTTCCTTCATCATGTATTGCTATGAAAGCAATATTCTCAACTAAACTCTGAATCTATCTTTTTGATGTATTTGCAACCCGTCAGTGCTTTGTAGAGTCGGGGTGTGATCCACCATTGCGTGCGAATGTTCATCAACTTGGTCTCAGTGATGATCGACTTTCCATGTTCCGCAGTTTGTCGTGATCGTGTACATCATTTTTCATCTGCAACTTTCACCTCCTAGAGAGTTACTTCGACATTTCATGTGCAGCAAGGCGCTGATCTCGAATGCAGGAAGTAGCCCGTCAGATTCACTGGAGAAGCACAACAGATTATCTGACACACTTCATTGATATCTTATGAGGATGCGTGCTTTCTCGCATCTCTCGTTGAGGATCATCTCCGCCGCCCTGTTCTTCGCGCAATATGCCTACTGCGCGGGTACCATGTCCTTCCCGCTGGGGAACCCCGATGCGGGCTTCCTCGGATTGAAATCACGATCTCAAGACGCCAATAGCATCTTGAATTTTCCTCAGCAATTGAATAAGGCAAACCTGGGAGAAAGATTCCACATGGCAAAGGCGGCGGTGGCCAAGGCTGTCGCCTCCAAGATGGACTTTGAGAAGTATCCGAAGCTGTTTGCTGCCGGAGGCTTCTGCGCATCCCTCACGCACTTGGTGACGGTCCCACTTGATGTCGTCAAGACGAGGCTGCAGGTGCTGCAGGAGGACGAGGGTCCACGTCATGACCTCTCATCCAGGTGAATCCTGGGGAGTTCTCCTCTCTCAACGAAGGCATCCGCAAGATCTATGAGGTTTGATAGGAGGGTGACTCAGCTCATCCTGCGTCTGACTTGAGGCTCCTCCTCTAGAAAGAAGGCACACGAGGACTGATGCAGGGTATGACTCCGACGTTCTGTGGATTTTTGATGCAAGGAGCATTGAAGTCAGTTCTCTTCTTGCAGCGTTTTCCATGACCTTGACGGTGATAACTTCAGATATGGATTTTATGAGTTCTTCAAGGACAGTCTAGCCCAGAGTTTGCCTCCCGAGAAGCGTGGAGTGAGCTTGATCCCCTGGTCATCTCAGGTTTCTGACGCCTTTGTTCAAGGAGGGCGGCAAGCTTCCCATCCCCCAAATGATCATTGCAGCGTCTGCAGCTGAGGTATCTTCAGAGTATATGTCCTTGGAGACGCCGCTCATGGAGTATAGATTCTTGGAACCACCGCATTGCTTCCATTCGAATCTGCGCGAATCAGAATGGTGCCAAAACCTTGATGGAGGGTCGTTTTCCTTGACTTGCACAAAAGGTGGCTGATCCCAAGTTCGCCAACAACATGTTTGGAGTTCTGGCAAAGCTAGTTAAGACCCAGGTAGCTTCTGTTGGGTTGTGAGCTTTTTGTAAGAGACCTAAAGGGGTTGGGTGGAATCTATGGTGGGTACTTGCCGATTCAATGCAAGCAAGTTCCCTTCACCATCACTCAATTCTTGGTGTACGAGTTTGCTGCCAAAGCAGTTTATTCTGCGCTTGCCAAGGCTGACATCAAGGTATGGTTCTATCCTCCTAAGTTTCTTTCTGATTTTTTTTTAGGATGCATCTTCTACTGTGGGAACGGCTGTGACTTTGGGATGTGGGCTCATTTCAGGAATCACGGCGTCGCTGGTTTCACAGGTTCCGCTCTTTGCTTTCGATTACGGCGTATGCGTCTCACGGGCTGGTAGCCGGGAGACACTGTGTTGTCTGTTATGAACAAAGCGCCTGGAACCACCGTTCTGGGAGCCATCAAGCAGGTGACAGAGGACACTGCTTATCTGTCCCTGGATGATGTTTTCTTGTTCCTTCTGCACAGTTGGGACCCCGAGGGCTTTACCTTGGAGCTGGAGCTCGATGTGTACACGTCACATCCTACATTGTTGCCCAATTCCTCATCTACGACTCTATCAAGCGATTTTTCGGAATCCCTGTAAGGAGTTGAAGGAGGTTGAATCTGGAACTGACGCGATGGAACAGGTTGCCGGGGAGGCCGAGGCTAAGCAATGCGTAGCCTCAGGTGTCTATCTGAGCAGTCCTTGATGTTGTTTGTGACACGAAATTGCAGCAGTTAAGAAGTGAGGATTGCCTTGAGGAGATTTGAATCGTCAGGACATCTCTGTCCTCCACTGATCGCGAGGGAAATTTGAAGTGTACCTCGTTGTCTATGCAAGATTATTCCGCAAGCTCGAAGTATCTATTCCTTCTTGAGTGAATAAACCTATCATTGCATGTTTGTCTGGGAGGTCTTGCTATCAGCCTTTATTGAATCCTCATGTTAGCAAGTCAGCTATATCCTCTTAGATGAACTTGGAGAGCCAGTCATAGAGGACGAGCACCTGGCAGGGGTTAGCAACAGACTTGACAGCAGAACTTTTCTCTCACCAAAGCAGCTCCAGTCCCACGGAAGACGTTGGAAAGAGAGCCCTTGAACAACCCGCCGACTCCCTCCTGCTTGACGATCTGCACAGCGCAGTCGATGGTTCCCTTGTACTGGATGGTAGAGCCTCCGCCAGACTTCATCATAAGGCGGCGACGAACGGTATCGAAGGGGTAAGAGATGATTCCAGCAACAGCAGTAGTGAACTCGGCAACGAGGAACGCCTAGATAAACAGTCAGTTGTGTCACCATGCAAACCCACAAAGAACTTGACCTGCCAGACAACAGCGCCGAATCCAACCTTCATCAGGACAGCCTTGAGAGTATCAAACCCACCGAAGAATGCAGCACGGTACACGATGATTCCCAGGATGGAAGCAGCAAATCCCTGGTACAATCCACCGATGCCATCAGACTTGTAGATCTTGGCAATGCAGTCGAAAAGGCCGTTGAACTGCCTGTCCTCCTTGGACTTGCCAACGTCAGCGCCGAGGCGGGTACGAGCGAAGTCCAGAGGATAGACGAAGAGGAGGGAAGTAGCACCAGCAGCTCCACCAGCAGCCAAGTTTCCAAGGAAGAACAACCAGAATCCGACCTGTGAAGAACATGTCAAACAACAAATCGACTGCATGTGTGCACAGACCTCCTCAGCAGGCCTGCAGAACATCTCCTTGTACTTGTCCTTGAAAGCAAAGTTGAGAGCCTGGGTAGGGAAGTATCTGAGGATGTTGGCAGTGTTTCCTGGATTGGCATTCAACAAGCCAGTTGATATTCCAGTTTTGCTCACCTCTCCAGAATGCGAGAGCTCCCTGCTCCTTGTACACACGGACGGCACAATCTACGATGCCCTTGTAGGGATCGGTGATCTGAGTGGAAGTAGCTTGCACCTGCCTCATGCAGTCAGTCGCTTGTTGTCACCCGATCTGATCTTAAACCTGGAGGAGGAGCTTGATGCGCTCAATGGGTGCAACCGCAGTCTTGGAGATAGTAGCAGATATTCCTGACAGCCGACGAGTTAAAGAAATGGTGTTGACCATTCAAGTACATTCGAACCTCCCTTAAGGAAGGACCTCAAAGGGTTGGACTTCTTCTTGCCGCTGGACGAGTCTGTGCCAAAGATTCAACATAACAACACCACGAATCTGCGAGGTCAACCAGCAGAGTAGGCGACGAGCTCGGAGTTGTCGCCGTTCTTGGACAAAGCATCATTGCCCTTGAAGGAAGCCATCGCTCCACCAGAGAAGGCAATGGTAGCAGCAGCAGTGAAAGCAGCTGCTTTGCCCAAGAGAGATCCCCTCTTGCCCTCTCCATTCTCACTCATTTTCAATCCAGCAAGCCTCACAGTGTTTGAAGATCGGAGCGAACGAGCATGGAGCGCAGGAGAAAGAGGTTTGGGCAAGGCGGAATACGGAGCAAACGCTGAAACCGTTGCCGTAATAGCCAAAAGGCCCTGCAAGACGACAACTCGCTTCATCATCTGCACAGGTCGTCAGAACACTCAATTTTTGTGAGATTGTCTTAGTGAGTATATGTTCAACCAGATGGTCTCCTGTTAACAAATGCTACGATCGCGCTGCCCAATATACTCATTGCAGTGCCCCTTTTCTCTGTTGTATGCATAACCCCTCGATGAACATTTGTTGCACTAGCATTTCATTGAAAACAAATTGGCATCACCTGACATATACACATGGATGTTTGGACTCTCTCCCCTTACTTGTTAAAGCTTCAAACCTGTTCGTATGAGTAGTCTTATGCATCTCATGAATCGACTACAAACTCACTATTATAATGACAACCTGAATGTCCCCCTTCTCTACGAAACAGAAACATTCAATAAATTCATGGCGTGCCGACATATCTGCTGATCTTCGATGTTTGATTCTAAGAAATCATCCCATACTCTCAAGACAACCATGTGCCTTCTGCTAAACACTGTTTTTCCGCCCTCGGTGCTTGATCGGACAAGGTCACAAGCTCGATGTCACTATCTCAGGTTTTCAGCCATAGCTTCGTCCAAGACTCATGTAATGCCCATGGCTGGCCACCGAGAACAGGACATTGAAAGCGGTCATCTCGACCAATCGTCCCAACAAAACATTTAAGTTCCTCCATTCCAGCATCTGTCCACATCTCCTCCTCCTCACTTCCTTCCTATCCATGTTAGTAGATTGCCATGAACAAGCGTCTGCTTCCATCCAGAGCTCTCAACAAGCGCATCTTCCTTCCTCTCGCTTCTCATGCCTGCTCGCCCTTGACCCGCCATGCTCCTCTCAGAGGCCGGATCGATCCGTCAGAATAACACCTACCCCTACTACCCTTTCTTCACTACCCCACCCTCTCACTTTTCAAATCTGTCAAGGACCCCACCCTAGGATTGAATTCCAGGTGCACCTACCCCACTGGGAATTCTTCTACCTTGCAAAAAGTCTGGAGGTTTGTGGGTACCCCTGTAGCCCAAATGCAACCGATGACCCTTGTCCTGGGGGCTACTGACCACCCTAGCCCCGATTTTCGTCCCCCACAAATCTACCACCCTCAAAGCAGTGGTAGATGATGTGGGTGCAGGTATTTGAGAGTCTTAATTTCAATCTTCATGTTGAATATTTGGAAACTTTCTGTTTAATTCGAAAGTTCTAAGTTTAAATTTGACTGTACCCCACCCCCAACTTCCTCATTATCCCCAAATCTGGGACGGGGGTGGGAGGGCACAGCCTGGAGGGTTTCGTATTGCAGTGGTCCTAGCAGCAGTACCAAAATTCTTCTATCTTCACCCCCCATTTCATAGAGTTCCTAGGACCCCACAAGCTTACGACTTGTACAAGCTAGACAGATAAGACCCTTCGGCACCCCACCCCTCACTACAACCTTTATATGCCATAACCCAATTTTAAGTCGACTACCTACCCTACCCCTGACTCCCTGAGGTTTCCTCGATCGAATAACCCCTGCTTGAAAAGATCTTTCCCTTGCTTGTACCCCACCCCATCTTGAGTATTAGTTATCCTCTTGCAAAACACCCCTACCCACCAATATCTAGGCAGGACCTCATAATAGGATGCCTCTAGAATTCTTTCCCACCCCGCTGCCTGCATTGGGTGGTGTGTCCCCCGAACCCCACATAGGGTAATTCAATACCCCTCCTATCTAGCTGGTTCTACACTCATAGTGGTAGGGTGGTACAGGGGATTCTCTTTTTTTTTTGGCTAGGGATGGGAGGCCCACCGGTACATTTGCTAGAATTAGGGGGTGGATCCATTACGACGCCCCTGTGTCTAAAAAGCGTAGTACCCACCCTTCGGTTCCATGGCGGAGCAGAACATAAGGGGTAGTTGACGAAGTAGTCAAGAGATTACGTAAGATGTTGGGGGACTTGGTGGGTGGTAGACAAGTCCAGGACAGGGTAGGGTAGGTAAAAGCATTGTTTACTAATGATTCAAAGAAGGTGCTAGTAAACAAACAACTCAAAAAGGGTGGGTGGGGTGATGAAGGACGGTAGGGTGGTGGAGCATGGCACAGGGTAATAAGGGTGAGGGGTCGTAACGTGTTGCCAATGAGTGGGGTGCATCATCCCAAATTTGAAATTTCGAGCCAAAAATTTCATGGGAAGTCATGGCAGTGGCTTATCCTCGTACTGATTTTTAACTTAACTTTGAGTAAAGACTTTTGACGGGCGCCCAGGGGTGGGTGGGAGACGTTTAGCAGAACTTCGGAACTACGGTCGGCGGCCCGGGCCGGGCCGGCCACTCAGTGTGGGACGGTTCGATCGGACGCCGCCGTGCCGCAGGCTCAGCCTGTGGACTGACTCAGTGTCTTTACTCAGGCTCCGAGGCTGTCATCCGATGGGCCGGGCCACTTCACGGCGCCGTTCGCGCCCGGCCGGGCCCGGCCTCCGGAATGTGAAGCCTTCAAGCGGCGCGCCCGGCAGAGCAGCTGCGGCCCAGTGGCGTCACTCGGGGCACCGGGCACTGGCAAGCCAGTGGCTCAAACGACGGTACCCCACCGGCAATTGTCACTGTTGCTATCGCCACTTCGCGACAGGCTGTGTAATCATGTGATGATCAAGACTAAATCCAGCGACCGATGACGATCCTGATGGATTACAGTGATGGATTACAGCGCGGAGAAAGAGGCGTCACAGCACTCCAACTCGATACAACAGTGAAGTAATTAACCTGATCATCGATCACGAAGGTATCATTTCGATAATAAAAAACTTCTGGTCAGAAATAGCGCAAAAAAAAAATTTGAGAGATGTGTTCGACATAACACAAACTCTGCAACAGTTTTAGGGAATTTGCTGAGACTCATGTTCAATAAGGGTTTGAATGGGCCTTGTGGTTCGGAATCAAGTGGTCACGGAAGTTGCTGATTTATCTCTCGAATCAAAAGAAGTGGGAACCACGAGCAAAATTCATACAAGACTTCATCTTGCACGAGCCCAGACAAGTAGAGAGTCAATCGTCTGCAAAAGGTACAGGAAAAATCTTGCAAAAATACAGGACAACTGTCGAGGAAAATCACGCAGGTGGCACGTCAAATTGCTTTTCCATACTGGTCAAAGGATCCAGCAGAAAAGACCTCCCAGACAGTGAATCCTGAAATCGCCTTTCTGCCGCTTCTCTACATAGCTGCCGCACAACTCCTAACGGTGGCTGTCGACGTGCAGCAGTTTCACACATTTTGTGAACTGAGCCTGAGTCATCGACAGCATCATGCTTCCTCTTCCAACCAGCAGATTCGTCAAGTTTCCGGTTCGGAAAACCCAAATGGAAGTTCTCGCTGTTGTCTTGCCCTTGGCAATTATCTTCATTGGGTTCACTTCCACGCTGCCTCTCGTCCCTCAGTGTGTCGTCATCTGGTGAGGAGATCTCGCTACCTTCCTTGCTTGACATTTGGCGGGAAAAAAGTGAATATTTGCCTCCAGGATACCAGATTGCAGGCAGAGACGAGTTCTTACAACGTTGATCTCTGGTGACAATCAACCACGATGGTAGCTATTTGTCTGTGAACTAGTTGCAGGCGATTTGAAACGTTTGCAAGCAAACCTGCAAAGTGAACACTTTTCTTGCTTGTGTCTTTCAAAGATTGGTCTCAAGATACAACGACGATCAATAGGCCTGAACTTGAAGCGGCAGGGCCAAACTCTGCATTGTCTTACCAACAAGCCCCTGCACCAACTTCGAAACCATAGCGATTGGTAGGAAACGAGTTTGGGGAGGGGGGGCCAATGCTTTTATTCCGTCGAGAGCTCTTCCATCACTTAAAAATTTAACACGTGATGAAAATATTGATCTTTTGAAAGTGATATACATATAACTTCAATATAAATTATGAACTATGTTTAAATCATACCCTCCGCCGCGAATTGGGATTGCCTACCCCCGCTCTCATCCAACTTTTCACACACCCCTACCCCATATATCATGCGTAAGTACCCCTCCTTGTAACTACACCACCCTGGAATTTTTGTTCCACCTGTCCATTCCTGAAGCAAACCTCCGTTTACTACCCTACCCGTTTGAAAAGCACCCCATTATCGGATCCTATCTTCACACCTCATTCTTCAAGTGAGAATTTTGTCTCCCTCATCCTATTACATATTTCATAATTATGATACTAATTGATTTCACCATAGTCATCAGCTTATCCCTGAGACAGTCCTCATCACACCTCACAGAATCACACCCACCCCCTACTTCTCCCACTTTCTTTTGTCCCTACCATGGACCACCCCCTTGAAACTCAGAGCTATTCAGGGCTATTGGATTGTGATGGGGATGAGGGCGATGAGACAGCGACAAGGTGTACGAGGGGGGATGAGGACTGGTCACGCTGCAAAGGGCGCAATGGGGGTAGGAGGCGAGCAAGCAGGGGTATGCCCAGTCACCTTGGAGCGAACGAGTGGGAGATCATGCCAGAGACAGAGCTGCAAGAGCGGCGTCAGCTGAAATCCGTTCTGTGGCCACGTGGACGAGCGACTTTGGAGTGCCAAGATCGAGCGAGGGCATTCCAGTTGGTACCGGGAGGGTTGAGATACTGTCTGCTCAGTGTCAACTGTGATGAGGGACCTCCCTGAAGGGAGATTTCGGAACAGGTATACACAACATACTCGAGGCATTAGTTCAACAGCTCTGACCTGGCCATCAGACATGTCTTCACGATGATGGTGTTGGTTGTGCATTCAATTGGGTGCGCAGGATCGGTACTTCAGAAGATCCATTCTGTTTCCAGTCGTGCGCCTTACTTTGGTGTATGTTGGTAGCAGGATGACAAGTTCAGCGTCTTGAGGGTTGTGAAGAACCCGACCATCCACAGGTATGCTGCGTACGCTTCGACCGTCCCTACAGCAGAGGAGGTAAGAGTGCGATGATCGCCTTTTGAGACTGTCACCGACGCTTTTCTTGTCGAGGTTTACGAGTACGCGATGAAGGTGAACCCCATGGATGCTGCCTTGAAAGCAGGGGTGCAGCAGATGTCGATCTTAGGCCACGAGCTGACCTACGAGCGGCTGCGCGATTACGAGGAGAGATTGTACGGCGGCTCTGCGGAGAGGGTTATTTCCAAGTACGTCAACCACATGCGTAAGCTCTGCGAGCGCTGGGGCATTCGCACGGGCGACGATCAAGTGCTTGAGGAGCTGGCGAGGCAGAACCAGACGGTTCTTGAAGTCACCGCCAACCCACCGCCCCCTGGCGGGTACCCAATCTTCGACCCCGAGGATATTGACGACATCTTCAACGGTGTGGAGGAGGGCTTGCGGCAGGACCCAAACGATATCCTGCTCCTGCGGCTCGCCGCCATGCTCACGCTGTGGATTAAGGGGCTCCGGCCGATAGATGGGCCGTGGTCGAGGAAAGACCGTTACGCCTCAATCCCTGAGCATGTGGATGAGGCAGAAAAGTACTTCAAGCGAGTGCTGGAGCTGACGCCTTCGGACCCAAAGACCATCTGCTTCTATGGGAAGCTGCAGGAGGCGTTCAGAGGAAACTACGATGAGGCGGAGGTGCTGTACAGAAAGGCTCTTGAGATCAACTGCAACCATGTTCTCACGTTGTCCTTCTATAGCTGGTTTCTTCGTGACATCCGGAACAGCTCGGATTGGAAGTTGTATCATGAGAGGAGAAATCTTCTCATTGACAGGGTAAGGCTCTGCGACTATAACATGGTGAGTCTCCTTCACGTGCCGTGTTGATCCCTCACCCCACTCCCTATATTCTATCCGGCAACTGATCGATGCTCCTTCTTCCCAGCCCTCTCACACACCCTTCTGCCCCCCCCCCGGTTCTCCTCTGCCGTCCCCTGACGCTGTTACAGGAAAAATACTTCCTTCCCTCGATCGAGAAAGCCGATCTCAGACCGATGTATCAGGCCGTTGCTGAAGGAACGCTAGAGGGAGAGTACGGCATGACCCCCCGTAAGTATCTCCGTGTCCCCGCACCCACCAAGCAGGAGCTCATGGAAGTGGGGTACACGGAAGAGCAGGCGGAGAGGAGCCAGGGAGGGCCTGTGAACGACTTCGACCTGGAGGGGGAGGCAGGCTTGTGGAACTGGAGGGGATGGTACCGCTCGTTCTGGAGGCACCAAGACAAGTTGAGCGAGGGCAACTACACCATGCGGAACCCCATGGGCCCGTCGTGGAGGGAGCAGAGGAACATGACTAAGACTTACAAGATTTGGAAGGACGTGATCTACTGTCTGAGACACCCGGGCATATAGAAGGAGGGCAGGGGCACTTGACATGAATTTATCATCAGACCTTACAGACATTTTCCTCGACTCATGTACACCAGAGGCATCAGGCGAGGGCCTGTGCCTGGAGAAGGAGCTGCTCTCTGATGACAGAAATGGTCAGATGTTGTGAGGACAGAGATTGGGGGCTGGCGAGGAGGCGGAGGAGGAGGAGGAGGAGGAGGAGGAGGAGGAGAAGGGAGGGAGGTCAAGAAAGGATATAAGGAAGCAAGAAGGGGGGGGGGGGTTGGATGCAAGGGGTGGAGGAGAAGGTGGAGGATGAAACCTTTTCTTCAGCGCCTCGATCTCAGATCGATATTGGTCTTTCAGTTTGGCAACGAGCTCTGTGATGAAGAAGAGGACGCGGTCAGCGGGATGGCAGGAAAGTTGAACAAGGAACGAAGGGAGGAGGGAAGGAAGGACGGAGGGGAGGCTCACTGTGCACAGCCTTGAGCTCGTCCTTGTAGACCTTGACAGCTTTCTCAATCTCTTCCTTGATGTTCGCTTTCTTCTGCGGGTTATAATCAGTCTGAGCCGGGAGCAGCGGGAGATTCTCACTTCTTCTTCTTCGATCCGGGACTGAGACCTGAAAGAATCGTTCAGCGGGAGCGGCAGCAGAGGCAGGGGCGGGAGCAGGAACATGTGCTGGAGCTGAAGCAGGGGTGGGGAGAGGAGCAACAGGCTCGAAGGTGGAGGAGGCAGTGAGTGACAGAGGGAGGGCCGGAGGCGGCGAGGGCGAGGAGGAGGAGGATGGAAGGTATGTTGCAGTCCAACATGGTCAGATCCTGCAGCTGCCCTTCGAGGTGTTTGATGGAATGGTCCTGCGCCTCCTTGACTAGATTCAGCTGCTCGATCTTCGCGCAGGGTCGTCAGAGTTCACGGTGCTGCTGGGCTGTTGTCACCTGGTCGATCGCGCCCATCAGGTGCTGCTGGAGCGCTTCCTCGTGAGTCTGTGATCAGGTCAGGAGAAAGATGGAGGCCGCGGCGGCAACGGCCAGGAAGGAAGAGATGATGAACAAGAACAAGAACAAGAACAAGAACAAGAACAAGAACAAGAACAAGAACAAGAACAAGAACAAGAACAAGAACATGATTATGATGATGGAGAAGAAGAAGAAAAAGAACAAGAAGAGAAGAACAAGGAGTGGATGTGGAGAAGGGGATGGAAGAAGAAGCGAAGGAGGAGTGAAAGTTCTTGTAGTCTCTGACCTCTAAGATCGAAACTTCTTCAAGAATACAGTTGAAAGTGTCCCTCATACTCGCATCGCGGTCCTGCCATGGATGATGAGCGACAGTGGAGGAGGAAGAGGAGGAGAGAAACACAAGCTGAAGGGGAAGCTGGAGATGGGGAAGGGGAGGAGAACTACGGGGACAGGTGGAGAGATGAAGAGGAGGAAGGAGGATGAATTAGGAGGGTTGAGCAACCTCGAGCTCTTTCAAATCTTCCAGCAGGCTCTTCAGCTTCCCTTCCTCCATCGCCTCCAGCGTCTTGAGCCTGATGCCAGCCAGTCAACTGCTCCTGCTCCTGCTCCTGCTCCTGCTCCTGCTCCTGCTCCTGCTCCTGCTCCTCATTCTCCGTTACTCTGCCGAACTTGCCTGTTGATCTCCTCGTTGGCTTTCGTAAGCTCAAGTTTCAGCAACTTCTCCCGGGCAAGGAAAGACTGACGGCAGGGCCAGTCAGGAGGAGGAAACGGAGAGGAATCAGAGAAGGAAGGGCAGGAAACGAGGGATTGAAGGGAAATGAAGAAGAGAAGCAAGTGAAGGAGGAGAAAGGGAAGAAGTGAAGGGAGAGGAGGAAGAGGAGGAAGGGGGGGAGGGGAGGGGGGGGGGGGGCGAGGGCGAAGGAGGGCGTGGTAAGGAC